AAATTCTGTGTATTTCTCAGATATCAAATGAAATTTTTTTCTGGTTGAATTAGATGTGTAGAATTACAGGATATTTCTCCATGCACAATTTAGTCCATGTGTATACTACAGCTTACTTCAATATAAGTAATGTAGCTCAGGGGTATGAATAAGCTACCCACCTGAACGACATAAGTTACAATGACCTGAGCTGCTGTGGATGGCATTGTGTTGGCAAAAGAGTTTCTCCCACCGATATAGCTACTGATGTTTGCAGGGACTGGAGTTGTTATCTCCTGGAGGCTTAGGTTTCATCTACACCGTGGCTTTTGCCGCAAGAGCCTATGCAAATGAAGTGCATATTAGCATATTGCTGCACTAATTTGCATAATTAATTAGGGGCCGTTTTTGCACAAAAGGCTTTTACACAAGACCTGTTCTTCCTCATTTTTTTCAGGAAAAACAGGTCTTGCGCAAAAGGGTGTTTTTAGGAAAAAATGGCCCCTAATTAATTATGCAAATGGAGTGTAGGAATATGCTAATCCACGCTTCATTTGCATAGGCTTTTGCACAGGAGGGATGCAATGTAGATGTAGCCTTAGAGCAGCGTTTCCTAAACTATGGGCTGTGGCCCGGTACTGGGCCACAGGAAAAAATACCGGGTCTCAGCGTGGTTGCCGGGGTGTTCCGGGCTCCTGGAGTGCCCGCGTGGTGCCGAGTCCCCCAAGCCTTCAGCCAGCCTGGGCAGAGTCTGCAGCCAGATGTTCCGGCTCCTGGCAAAGGCGTAGCTAGGGGAGATCGTGGGAGAGGAGGGGAGGAGGAGGGGAGAGCCGGCCACCGGAAGCAGCACTGGACAGGGGAATCGGGGTGGGCCATGAAGATTGAGGGGGAGGCAGCCAGCGGAAGCAGAGCTGGCCAGGGAGGCAGGGGGCTAGCTAGGGGAGATCGGGAGGAGTAGGGGAGAAGCGGCTGCCGGAAGCAAGGCTTGCCTGGGGCATCGGAGCTGGCCAGGAGAGACTGGGGGGCCGGCGGAAGCAGGGCTGCTGGGGGGCGCGAGGTCGAGGGTAGGGATCTGGCTGGGGAAGATGTGGGAGGTGGGGGAGAGAAGCGGCCGCTGGAAGCAGGGCTGGACGCGGGCAGCGGGGCTGGCCAAGAGAGATGGGGGAGGA